AAAAAAAAAAGAAATTGGGCTGAACTAAAGTCATGTTCAAGTCAGCTCTTTCCAATCGTGACAGATGACCACTAATGACTTTTATCTATTTGGTAAAATCATCAGAAAGCACTAAGTTCCAGGAGTAGACTTAGGAGTGCCTCTCATTGGCTGGCTTTCATTATGTACGTGTGTCCTTGTACCGGTCTGAGACTAATCTGTACTAGTATTCTGGCCAGATCTAGTTTTCCCCATCATCCCAGGGGCTGGAATCCTAGGATCAATTCTACCAAGCCACACAAACTGAAAAGAAAGATTGAAAAGATTTCAAGTGAGCAGAACCACAAGTGTTTTCTACATTTAAAAATTCGCACCAAGTGAAAAGAATAATTTCTAAGTCAAGAACTCCTATAATATTGTTTATTAGGACCAAACAAATCCTATCTACACTATTTTGTAATAGCAATCTATTTCTACAGTACAATATTATACTTAATTGCCATCTTAAATTACTGTTAACACTTTATATGTGTGCTTGTATTTACTTAAATGAAGATACTTTTTTTTTTCCAGATAAGGAGGACTACTAAAATCAATTGATGGTACTTCAGTATAGCATACTGAAGCCTTTGTGTATTATTAAGGAATTTTATGTGCCACTGAGTTAAATTTGATTCATGCTTGACCTTCCATTGGGTTTTCAAAAGCTCTATAATGAATGAGAGAACACCACCTTTTTCCCCCTGAACAGTTAGTATAGTTAAACTGCCTGCCTTTGGGTTGGCAGAGCAATTCTTTGCCTACTAGGCCACCATACCTCTCTTATTACCCAAGCTATGGTCATCACAATTACTTGCTAAGCATCAGAGAGCTGGACAATGACTAAGGATGATAGAAAAATCAATGCCTTTGATTTGTGGTGCTGGAAAAGTGTTTTGAACATACTATGGACTCCTAAGAGAACAGACAGATTTGTCCCTGAGAGAGTGAAGCCAGACTGCTGCTTGGAGGCAAGGATTTTGAAGCTGCATCTCACATATTTTGGACATGTTGCTAAGAGGGACCAGTCCTTTGAGAAGGACATTATGCTTGGAAGGGTGGAGGGAAAACAAAAGAGAGGAAGACCATGGATGAGATGAAGTGACTGGGTGATGGAGGTATGTATGTTGGAGACAGTGAAATTGGCTCAAGATAAGAGAAGGGTCAGAGCTGTTGTACATAGGATTGCTCTGTGCCATAAGCCACTCAACAGCACATACCAAGAAACATTAACATGATTTTTTTTTCAGCTCCTCTTATTACTTTTGAGATTAATGGAAGAGGCATAATTTGCATAAATGTCCTTTCCCTTTAGTGAAACGTCATTGAGATAAAGGACACTGTTAGGCCAGAAATCATAACTAGTATTCCACAGATCACTTTTACTTAGTCTGTTTCATTTATTTGTGTTGTTATGTGCTGAGTCATAGCTGAGGGATTTCAGAGACTGTGAATCGCACAGGAGGAGATTGTCCATCTTTCTCCAACAGTAGTTGTTGTTGTTATGTGCCATTGAACCACCTGCAACTCAAAGCTACCCTTTGCACAATAGCTCTGAATTTATCCTATCCTGAGCCAAACTCACTGTCTCTGCAAGCTCATTATCAGCTGTGAAACACTAGGCCAGGAGCTGATTGTGGAACAGACCACCAACTACTCATATGCAAGTTCAAGCTGAAGTTGAGGAAAATTAAACCAAATCCAAGGCAACCAAAATATGACTTTGAGTCTATCCCACCTGAATTTCAGAACCATCGCAG